CCCGGGACGAGTTCGAAGAAATGCTACGTGGCCGCCTCGAGCCGCGCAACCCTCGAGAGGGCATCATGGCTAACCTACGACAACTTACTTGCCGTAACTACTCGAACTATCTCGCAGCCTTCAATAGGCTCACAGGTGAATTACAGACCACCACTACCGCCCGTAATCCTATTGATGAGAGAGAGAGATGCGCCGCTATTTCTGCGACATATTGGTTCCCAATGCCGCGGTCGGCGATATACGAGGGGCGTATTGTGATCTTTTATTCACTGATTGCACTCCGGATGGGGCAAGGAGTTTGGTGCAGCAGCCAATGTGGGCGCCAAGCGCGACAACCTGAGAAAGCGAAAACTTTCATACACGCACCGAAGTCAGCATAGACAGATGGATTCGTATGGTTCTGCCGAAAACACGTTGTCGTACATTTGGTGAACCGGATAACCACGTGTTTCACCCTACACGTAGAGTCCCCGAGTTGGCCGAACCTGACGACCTTGCAGGAAAGTGGAGCCCCTCGGACTGGAAATTTCTGGCCATGCGGATGGCCCCCTTCTGTACAACCAAGCCGCTTCCACCCCATACATTCCTGAATACGTTATTACTTCCCCTTGACTTGATCTGACTCTCAACTTCTTGGAAATCCTCGACCATGGCACCGCCCCATCATCCAATCCTGCCAGCCGTTCCCGCAACGTAATCGACAATCCTCACATAACTGCTATCTGAATTTCTGCGCTATTCAGCGGATGCTGGATCAATGTTTCCAGTTTTCGTTGGGATTCCATCATACGGTTGTTTTCACCGTAGAATAGTAGCCGTCAAGTCTTGAACGACTGGACCCGCATCGGATTGGATTTATTCCTATGCCGGACAAAATCCGGAACACCGACTATTGGTATCGTTTCGAATGGCAGTCTCGTGGATCGATTCATGTCCACGAGTTCGGGTGGCGACCCGCCGAATCTTGGGATTTGAGCCTGGCCCACGGCGTCCCCTTCCTTTTGCCTCGGGTCACTCCGACGCTTACGCATGGGGCATCTTATAACCCAACCGCTTTTTATGGACATATCCTACAAGGAGAGGGAAGTCCGTCAGCTTTCCAGAATCATGCTCAAATCTGCAGGAATTGATGCCGCTAGGTTCTCCTGGAACAGAACTCATCATGGGGCACCCGCGAGAGCCCAAGCGAAACTATTAGCAGCATCCGCCCGGGTCAAAATTTCAATATAAGCAGCGGCGCGAACCTCATGGCCTGAAGATCCACATCGGTGAAAAGAACCTAGTACAGCACCTTAGCCCAACTGGTTCCACCCAGCCCTTTCCAAATCCTAACCCTTCGAGAGTTCGCACCAAACTCCGGATTGGGCCCTAGGACAACTGAAAGATGCTACGGGTAGCCGCGCAAGCTTCTCTGGCCGGACCGCGAGGTGGACGGTAGAGCAGGTTGGGGGGATCTGCGAAGCCAAACTGCCGTGGATGCTTTGGAATTGCTGCAAAGAGTGGACGGCTCCGGTTGGCTCTTCTACGCAGAGTCTTTCTCCCTATTTCACGTTCTTGTATGAGTCTAAAATCACAGCATAGCATAGTCATCTGCTGGTGTATACCCATCTGTCTGTACCCTGGCCTAGACCATGTACCAGGATGTTGCAATTCTTAATTGAGTATCATTTACCAAACTACATGTGGGCAGTCTTGGTAGTGTGGATCACCTTGAGTATACTGATTCGTTGCCGGGATAGCTTCAAATGGTTTTACAGACTTTTGGGCGAGCTGGATGAATATATTCCCACGTCAACTCTCTCGCGTCGTCCCAGTCCGACTTGAAGCCAAAGTCATCAGCCGCTCGAAGTTTCTGCACAAATACCCAAATCAATTCATCCGCGAAGAGGAATAGGATCGAAATTATCTGTAGCTTTACGCTTATCAGCATGGGGGAAATTGGCCTAAAAATTTTCTGCCAATTTGTTGTAATTAATTGCCGGTCAACCGACATTCCCAGCGCTGTAAAATCACAGATTGCATTCAACTCAAATCAACAAGAAGAAAGCATTTGGCAAGGTGCGCAGCTTGGAAAGCGCGTCCAATCGACCCAGAGTATATATAGAAAGCGAGAAAATATGGAGCTTTTCAAAACGCTCATATGTAGGATGCGAAAAATCGTAGTGTATTTGACTGGGATTGTGATTGTATGAAGAAATACAAAGACGAGGAAACGATAAAGCTTGGGAAGAACGCAACAATATGTCCTGGCTTGCTTTTTCGGCCTCTCATCGGGTTTCTGCAGCCGTCAAAGCACAAATGGGCTGTTCCTCCAAACAGTTCAAAGATGCCTCCCGTTCACTTAGCTCCGTCGATGACCAGTTCTCCCATAATGGGGTACACCACCAAAGGGAACGAATGCATACATATATACTTACCGGACAATCCAATTACTTAGAGTGGGGCATTGCCAGGCGAGCTGGGTTGCCTTCGGAGGTAACAGTGTGAGGTTGGAGCATAACCTTACTATATGCGTCGGCATGTCCCGAAGCACGAATGTCATTCGGCGCAGATGACCCCATTGTTGATAGGAAGAATGTCTGGGTGCCCCAGGACCAAACCTTAAATCGTGCATGCACAGCGTTTCAACGACTCTCGTGCTTGTGGAAATGACCAGCCGAATTTTGCATCCCCGAACGTTGGCAGATTGGAAATACGATACGGGTTACGGCGAGGGGGGTTTATTGACGGCAGGTGAGAGATTTTGGTCGGAGAAGACGGGGAGTTTTCTGGAGCGAAGATGAAGCGGCATTTCAAACGTGCGCAGCTCTGGGGTCAAGCGTACGTTTGTCTGGTATGGGCAGGCGATCGGTAGATTGTAGATTTCTCGGCTGAAAGACGGACGGTGATGCGTTGGTCAGCCCAATGGGGAGGGAAAGAGGTTGGAGGGAGGTATCGGGGGGAGGATGGAGGATGGAGACCGGATGTATGCGTGGGGATGGATCTGAAAAAAGTCATCATCAGTTGCTGTCCTCCTTTACACAAAATTGAGAATGATTACCGGTCTGACTGCCATTCAACGACGAGTGCGGCACAAATAACACATTCCTGGAGACGAGCAAGTCGGTGTGAGCCCAAATTGACGTTATTGGCGGGTCCAATCGGGGACTCTGGTAGGAGTGGTTTCGCTGGTTTGCGGGCGTAAACAACGATTGGTTTTGAAAGTAGGTGGTGTGGGAAAGGATTTTAGGGGGTTGATTCTTGGCCAGTACTGGCAGGTAGGCTGCTGCTTGTTCTGTAAGGTTGTGGTGGTAGGTCTATATGAGGCTATTTTCAAAAGTCAGAGAAGGACAAAACGTTCTAAACACAACGACTAGGATATCCGAAACCCGATAATCGTTGCTCCACCTGGCCTTCTTTGCCATTAGACAATATGCGCAGTACCCGTATCATAATGCAGCTTCCTGTTTGTCGTTGTTGGTTCTTTTGAGAGCGTTTTTGGAGTCCAAAGTCGCGGGGTGTTTCGAGTTGAAAATAGTGAACTTGGAAAAACCTTGCCGGGGGGAAACTCGATCTAAACAATCACGCGTCTTTTGAGCCGAGCGACAAAAACTCTTTGGAAAAAAGACAACGGCAAGACAAACAAGACTTGAAGGACGGAACATAACACCATATCGAATGAACTTCATACGCTCAATCCGATAGCCTTTGTCAAATACCATGCCGCCCTTGCCTTGTTGCGGTATTTGGCCGACCGTTCACCCAACTACTTCAAGCCCTTAGTGTTCAGGATAACACCAAACCTGCCACGGCAGCTCATCGTAGCGGGCTCACTGCACCAGGACCATGCACTCCGTTACAAAACTTATACATTCATTCTTCGTTTTACGAGCTAGCCTGGCCGCCCACCGATCTCGACGAAAAGTTCTTTACGAGGTCAAGATGAAAATCGGGCCCGACGCGTCGACCCTGCAGCGCGCGGAAGCCATGTTCCTAGGATTTTCCTGCGCAAGGGATTGGCCCGGGTGGCCTGATGCAACTTTCAGCCAATCACCTTCTTTTCCAAAGCCACGCCGCAATCACACCCTCGGGCTATAAAAGCCGGCCTTCCCCCCGCTTCCCTCTTGCTTTTTTCGTCATCTCACCCACCCGCTTCCAGCTCCATTCCCCACCCTGTAAGTATACTTCACCCGTCTCATTCTGTGATTGGTTTTTCTTGTGCTGACCGCCATATCCCTCCTTTCACTTCTCAGTTCCGTTCACGTCGCCGTCCTTTACGCCTATCCTTCGCCTCATCACCATCAACCAGCACCTTCCATCAACCACAGCACCCCTCCCAACCAGCACCCCTCCACCAGCACCCCGTTCAGCACCCCGTTCAGCACCCCATTCAGCACCCCATTCAGCACCCCATTCAGCACCCCATTCAGCACCCCATTCAGCACCCCATTCAGCACCCCATTCAGCACCCCATTCAGCACCCCTTCAGCACCCCTTCAGCACCCCTTCAGCACCCCCTCAGCACCCCAACGTCAGGACTGGATCTGGACCGGATCTGGACCGGATCAGGACAGGATCAGGACAGGATCAGGACAGGATCAGGACTGGATCAGGACTGGATCAGGACAGGACTGGATTTCTTAGGTGAGTGTACGTTCTTCTCTGTGCTGTAGGTGTGTGGCAGAAACGGACTGACGCTGCGCGGTGGTGGCGCGCAGTGCTGTACTGTGCTCGGGATGGCAGTGCATTCGTTGCCTGAGGGCCGGAGGGGCCCGAAGAAGGCGCGGAAGGGCCGGGAAGACTTCAACTTTCATTGTCTTTGTAACCTCATACCATAATACATTCTATAACATACACTATATTTTGCATTAAATACCAATGAAAAAAATTGTTTGATCTCCATCTTGTGAGCCTGCCCATTTCCACGGCGCATTGTTAATACACTCGTGAGAATATGGTGAGCTGTCCATCACCACTTGGTTTTGGAATGTGTTCACCCATTAATCGTAAACTTTTATCAAGGAGTTATAGCTCAGCGGTAGAGCGGCCGACTGCAGATCGGCAGGTCCCGAGTTCAAATCTCGGTGGCTCCTCTAAACCATTTTTGCATTTTTTTGCAATTTGAAATCCTGTTGACCCGTTTCTCCGTTTCTCAAAGCCCACCAGCATTCCTGCGCATCCAAGGTCAATCGACCTCTGCGTCGAGGGAAAAAATTGGAGCTTCTCAATCCCGAGAAAGCACGCATGGATGGCAGACAGTGCCAGGCACCATTACTAGCGATGGCTCTTGTCTCTCCATCCCAAATGTCAAGTTGGCAGCAAGCTTTACTTTCGCAACTCATCTCACTCCAGGAGTCGTGAAAGCTTTTCAAAGTCATGAAGCTTCGTAGGGACGTATTCATCAGACTTGCCGACAACTTTGACCATTGCCGTTGCCTAGAAGGACCATCCACCCAACCTGACCTAAAGAAAACCGTACTATGTTTTCTATGCCTTCAAGACCCCGTTCACCGCGAGAAGACCCTGTATATAGATCAAGCCAGATCCAAAGACCAACAAAATGACAGTTGGAGCGGAGAAAGAGGAGAACGCGCAAGTGGCAAAGGCTCGCCCAAAAGACGCCGGTGACTTTGCGGCCCGCGCAATGTGATTGGGCCAGCCGGCAATTGTGGCACAGGCGTCATGTGATGTGTGGCGCACGCGTGCACGGACGGACAAAGACTTCCTGGATTTCCTATAGGATTCCTGTGATTCCGGGCTGCCAAATCGCTGGACGAGAACAACCCTCCTTCGCCGCCTGGAAGTCACCTTTACTACCACAAGCGCACGGCTCACTTCAATCGTTACCCGCTGGGCTGTGTTCTGCGCGTCGAAAGGACCCATTTCGCGTCAGGGACCGAATCGGTGGGGTACCTTGCTCCCGAGCACTACCGCCTACTTGTAAATTTGCTGATTGTCATTTTCCAGATCATTGTGTCGGTCGTTTTCAAGAAGAGGGCCACGTCGGTACTCCTGAATTGCCAAAAACAGAGGCGATATGTCGGAACTGGACGTGCATCAAGACCCCCACGCAGATGCGGGCGAGGAGCAGGATACCTCCATGGATGAACTCAAGCAAGACATGGAGACGGTGGGGCCGGAGCATCCCCACGAGGTCCACCACCACCATCAAGCCACATTATCGGCCGAAGAAGTTTTGCAAACTCTCAATAGTGTCGCTGATGACCCTGACCGGCCCGAGGATGAGGTTGTCCAGCTGCGACGCAAGATTTCCAAAATAATGAGTGTACTGAATGAAGAAGGCGCCATGGATGAAGCTGGAGTGCTTGAGCGAGTACGAGAGGTAAATCATGCAAAAATGCCCGAGACCTGTCAAATGACTTAACTCCTTTTTCATTAGCAATTGGCAGCAAGTGCATCTGCAGCACAAGCAAGTTTTGCATCAGCGCAAGCGGCAGCAAACGCTCACGATGCCTTACCTCCAACCCCGAAGCGCTCGGACGAAGAACAGCGACAGGATGCCAACGCCCAGTTTGCCCAACAAGTAACATTAGCGGGCTCATCACCCAACGGAAACAACCAACCGCGCTTCTCCTTTTTTTACCCAGGGACCAATACTCCCCTTTTCGCCGTCCCACAGACATCGACCTCTGGTGTAGGTGCGTTCCCTTTACTGGTAGCGGCTGCAGTGGCGGCTCAACCCGCACCTATTCAACCAGGACCCGCCCCAGATCGTGAGGATGCAACCATGACATCCATGAAGCGGAAACGCCGACCGACCAAGGTTTATCCATGTACTCACCCCAACTGCCCACGCCAATTCACGCGACACTTTAATCTGCAAACCCACATCAAGACCCACGACCCCGAACGTGACAAGCCGTATGCTTGTGATTTGTGTGAAAAGGCATTTGGACGGAAAGTCGATCGTGACCGGCATATGAATGGTAAGCCTGCTCACCGTGGTCCTTCTTGATTTCACATCACTCATTCCATCTCTGTACAGTTCATACCAAGGAAAAAACGCATGTCTGTCCCTATTGCAGCAAGACGTTTACCCGTAAAGACGCTTTACAACGCCATGTTACCGCCCGACGCTGCGGTCCCATAGTGCCAGGCCTCGGTCCCGTCTTTGGCGGCATACCTCTCCCCAGTATCCGAATGATTGGTGATGTCGATGGTGCGGTACAAGATCACGATAGTGATGCCGCCCGAAATGGAGCGCTGGCTGCTCAGAGTGCGGGCCACGCAGCGGTTGCCAGCAATGGTAATGGTCAGTGGGTCTTGTTACCCATGGGCAGTATGAACAGCATGATGGCGGCGAATAATGCTCAGGCAATGAACAATGGAATGGGGGGAATGGTGTTGGGTCAGCGGATACAAATGGACGACGGAACGACTCGAGATGCCGATGGACAGTTACGCATCATGGAAGTCCGCGACGACGAAGCCGAGAAACACATGCAACAGCATCGGGAAGGCACACTGACTGCCGAAGATGCCGCTCGTCAAGCCGCAGCCGCGGCGGCAGTAGCAGCTGCTGCCAGTCAGTCGGGCAACCAGGTGGATGCTGCGGCTGCTCACCAGGCTGTGTTGGCATACCAGCAGGCCGCTGCAGCGGCATCCGGGCAGGACGCCAATTCCCAAATCTTGGCTTACCACCACCAACACCAACAGCATGTTGTGCGAGAAGCGGCGGCGGCTGCTGCTGCGGCTGCTCAACACCAAGCACACCAGGCAGCCCAAATGCAAGCACAAGCTCAGGCTCAAGCCCAAGCTCAAGCGCAGGCCCAAGCACAGGCCCAAGTCCAGGCTCAAGCAGCCCAGCAGCAACAACAGCAGCAGCAGCAACAACAACAACAACAACAACAGCAGCAGCAACACGAAGATGGCTCATCACTTCCTCCACAGATACAGGTAAGTCAACGAACATCTACCCCTTTACTCACCCTTCAAACCCGAGTCTCATCCATTTCCTTTCCCCTTAACAGTATGCCCTCCACCAGTAAAATCCCCCGGTATCCAAAGCTTTTTTTCTGTCCATATCCCTTCCTCCGTTTTTTATTTGCCTTTTTTTTCTTCTGCCGACCCGTAGTTTTCGGTCTGTTTGCAAAAACAGTGGATCTCGTCCCACTACCCATCTTTACCCCCCAATCCACCCTTTTTTTGTTGATACATATTATGAATAGATTTTTCGATTTGTGGTAAAACGAGAACTTGTTACAGAAAACAACAACAAAAAACCACTACATGCATACGACGACCGACATGGTAAAAATACGCCGGTGCAAAGCGTCACTATACACATTTCTAGAAAAAAGACAACATGAGAATGAAACAATAGGGTCCTTATAGATCAAACGTCTCTGCATGCATATGCCACAACGACTGTCGATCCGAACATAATCGAGCCGCCCGACGTGCATCATGGATCATACCCTGCGGGCCACAAACTGAATAAAATTAAAGTCAGAATAGAGATGAGATGGGAACGGGGAAAACTTACTTCCGAGGGCAGCGTCCATATCTGGATACTTGTTTTTAATGTCTTTGCAAATGGTGGTAATATTGGGGCGTTGGTAAATGACCTCGTAACCGGCCGAGGTGCGAATCCGGTCTCCGTTCGCGTCGTCCAATTGGATTATGGAGGGTTGTTGTTGGGTGGCAGACAGGATATGGGCTGTGCTGGAATCTTTGATCATGTCGGTGCTCATGCTGGCATGGAGGGCAGGTGGTGGTGGTGCGGCAGCAGCGGATTGAGTGACGTAGACGTAGATGTGAGCGCCGAGGGAGGCGGCTTCGGCCAGTTCGGCGGCAAACCATGCCAGATGGGCTTCGGTTTGTATGGCCCAGTGGAACTGGGGGGGAGGGAGTGTGGAGGAGTTGGCTGCCCGCTCGTGAAGGGTTGTAAGGAGGACAGAGATGATGGGTGTAGCGCCGATCCCGCCCGCGACTAGGACGAGGAGGGGGTAGTGTTGGGGATGCATGTCCCATTTTCCGTAAGGGCCGTCGACGCGGACGGTGATGGGGGTTGGGGTACCAATAACTGCTGATTCCGTTAATCGATGGGTGAATTTCCCCACGTTGCGAAGGACCAGGACATATTCTTGCTCGGTCGGTTTACCGTCGACTCCGTCCACGACTGCAGCTGACGAAACGATACTGGCCGGATGCCATTCGACCAATCCCGCCTTTGGGACATTGAGGAATACGTACTGTCCAGCAGTAAAGTGACGGCCCCATAGTGGTTTTTGGCGGATGGTTAAGCGGGTGCATTGGCCGCTGTCGTCTACCGAGGCGTGAGCGATGGCGGGGCGGAACCAGCCGCGAGCAAACCGGATGAGACGGTCAATGAACCAGAGGATGATGACTGGGAGAGTGAATGGGAGGGCTTGTTCCGTATGCAAGTTGACGAGAATGATGACGGCCACGAATCTGGATTTAAAAGTTAGAACTAAACGGTGAAGGGAGTAGAAAGAGACTCTCTTACCCGAATATATGCAGGATCCAAAAGAATTCCCAAAAGCGTTGGCGGACAGGCGCCAAAGCCGTCAAAAACATGAAGGACAATGAGGCCGCAATGGCGGGTCCAAATTGTAAACGGGGCCGCATCTCAAACATGAATTCCGTCTGATCAAACTCGGTCCATTGCCTCAAATACAGGCCGCCATGGACCCATCCAAACACGAGCGCTCCGGCCCCAAACCATTTATGAAACTGGACAGTGCGTTCAAAGGGCAGAGCTAGGAGGTAGTAAGCAGGTGTATTCCTCAGCCCGAAGATGATGGCGGCACAAATATTGGCGAGGGCCAAGTAGCCGAAACGGGGGTAGCCAACATCGTATTGCAGGTTGATGGAGCCTGCGGCAAAGACTGCCGAGAGGGTAATGTAGGCGAGAAGGAAGAAGATCAGCCGGGTTGTGAGGTAAGGGTAGAATGGGAGTTGGAGGTACGAGATGCGGTGGGCCAAGACTTTTAGAGGGTTGTGCGGTGTATGCTTTGGTGGTGTCAATGGTTGACCTATGCTTGGAACGTGAGCAGACTACATTCGGTGATGTGACCGTTGGCCGTTTTACTTACCCGTCTTGTGCTTG